GTAATTTTGGCTTTGAAAGAGAAAAGGTGTTCTGGTTCAAAAGCCAGAATGAACCCAGTAAAAAGAGTTGCAAGGGGTGCCACCTTTCTAGCTAACTGGGAGGATTCCTGCCCCTCCTCTCCTGGGATGGCCCCACTGTTCAGAGATGAAGATTTTGGAGCTCATAATGCTAATGATGCGTAAATGCATTTTCAGCTATTTTATTAAGCTGGCCTTTCCAGGTTCATTATCATTAATATTTATGGTTGGGATATGTTCCTCCAGAGACTCTGCAAATAGCTCTTCTATTGTTCAGGTAAAATTTATGGCACGTTGAACTAAGAGGGGCACCACATGAGCCCAGGCTTACACATCTCATAGGAAAAGAAAGCTTTACCACTGGTTTTGGATGGATCTTTAGTCTAGTCCAACCATCTTTTACGTGTAGATAATTAAATTATGCTGTCATGAATCCAAGAGGGTCTATGTGCTGCAGGCAGAGAAGCATGGTGCTAATTCCCTGAGATCACATCTTCTGTTGCAACTGGCTCTGGCATGGTCTACCTTTTGCCCCCAGAGTCTCTGCCCCAGTGAAGGGTCATGGTCTCTGCTGTATGCAAAGGTTCAGGCAGGGCTACAGCACGTTCCCTGCCCAGTGGGATGGAAGGGCCTTCCTCTTTAGAAGGGCCCAGCCAGGGCTCTGGCACTTGCAGCAGTGCCATCTGCACCTGCCAGAAATTTCACACTGCTACATTGCAAATGGTGCTTGAAATTTCTGGCTGGGTCAAGAGGAAGGAAGTGGCGTTACCATTCAGCCATGCATTTACTGATCAGCCCTGGATGGGTGGGAAAATATGTGCAGAAGGCAGACTTAGGTATTGAAATAAAATGTTAGCTCTGGTATACTTGGAAACAACCAACTATTCTGTACTTGTTAAAAGTAATTTTTTGGAAGGTTTGGAGGGGTATCACAGGAGCCTGAGCCTCCACAAGGTCATAAGTGCCAATTCCATAGGCAGGACCAGACGAACACAAGCTCACCTTCCTAAAGTTTTAGACACCTGACTGCAGGCTCAGGTGAAATGCTCGTCTGTAAAATCCAGGCTTAGCTAGGTGACCCCTCTCCAGCTCTGTGAATCTGGGACTCTAAATGGAATGAACTTTCCCTCATTCGTGCATTTTCTTGCCATTTAGATCCTAGCAAGATCTTGTTTATGTTGGAAGCTGTGAGCATGTGCTGAAGCTGTCCAGGGATGAGTGAATATCATAGTAACCAGACTTCCTGGGCTGAAGGAAGAGGCTAGAATGATGGGAAGCACTCATCTGTGATGAAGACCTGCTTTTTAACTGCACTTCCTGTAATTACAGGCTGCATCAGGGACCAATCAGGAGAGGCTCAAGGGGGAGGTGGGGCAGGTAGCCCTAAGGGACTCTGGAA